TAATYTTTTTCTTTTTAATGTTTGCTGAACTGCAGGTGTCTCCAAGGTCCTGGCAGGGCATCAGCACGTCTGGAATGGCTGCTCCACGCTCCCTGTGCCTGGAGAGGGATGAGGGAGAGCTGATCCACCCCCATCCTTCACACCAGGCTGGCCCAGCTGGGACTCCCTGTCTGACAAATCAAATTCTTCAGGTTTTAGTGCATCCCCTGCTGCTTTTCCCATGTCTTGCTCAGACTTTGGCATCTTTATTCCAACAGATACTCAGATTTTATGAACTCCAACATTTCTTTCCCTGACAGGTGAGCACAGAGCTTCATTCCCTGCTGGAAGAGTCCAGCTCYGGGTCCCAGAGCTGGAGCCAGGCTGAGAGAGCTGGGGGTGCTCACCTGGAGAGRAGAAGGCTCCAGGGAGAGCTSAGAGCCCCTGCCAGAGCCTAAAGGGGCTCCAGGAGAGCTGGAGAGGGACTGGGGACAAGGGATGGAGGGACAGGACACAGGGAATGGCTCCCCACTGCCAGAGGACAGGGATGGATGGGATATTGGGCAGGAATTGTTCCCTGTGAGGGTGGGGAGGCCCTGGCACAGGGTGCCCAGAGMAGCTGTGGCTGCCCCTGGATCCCTGGCAGTGCCCAAGGCCAGGCTGGACATTGGGGYTGGGAGCAGCCTGGGACAGTGGGAGGTGTCCCTGCCATGGCAGGGGTGGCACTGGRTGGGATTTAAGGATCTTCCAAYCCAACCATTCCATTATTCCCATGACATGGGGATGCCACTCCATCTGCTCCATGCACATAAATTCCCTGGCTTGGCAGCACCAGAGATCTGCCCTGCTSGATCCAGAGGGGAAATTTAGGGGGAAAAAAGGCTGGGATATTAAAGGAGATGGGGAAAACATCTGGGATATTAAAGAAGACACTTTTGTTCTGGCAATCCTTTCAAAGCTCCAACCCAGCCCTTGGACAATTCACCAGCAGCAGCAAAAAGCAGCTTCAGTCACTCGTTAAACCTCCAAGGAATCCCTGAATTGGGCCCGACTTAATGAATCCAATAATCGATTCCTCCTGCACAAATAAGGAGTGGGATGGATCAGCTAATAAGCATTCCCAGTTAATTGCTTTCTTCAAGTGACAATTTGTACAAATGATACCATCAAAGCAGTAATAATATCCCTATTGATTAAATTAATCTCAGAAAGACAACTCCAATAACTTTAATTAGCAATGCATGACACAAGCACAAAACGCTCAGAAAACAACCTTGCAGCCCATCCCAGACTTTGAAATCGTGGTGTTAGAAAATACACCAGTTTAAAAATTGTTATATAACTTTGGTCAAAGATCTTGTTTGCCTTTGCCCTGGGGGAAGGCACTGATTCTTTGCAGGGCATTGTTCCATCAGGTGAGGCCTGAGGAGCTTCACAGCTCAACAGAGCAGGAGAGGGACAGAGAGAAGGGACATCAGTGACCATCAGTGACCATCAATGACCATCAGTGACCATTAATGGCCATCAATGGCCATCATTGACCATCAGTGACCATCAGTGACCATCAGTGACCATCAACAGAACATCAGCTCCAAACCTCCCCCCTGACCTGGTTGGACACTCCTGGTTTGGGAAAAGAGAGATGAGGAGCAGGACCTGATCAGCATCAGAGGGGAAGAAATCCAGATCCAACAGGAACCCAAATCCTGAGAATTGCAAAACGTTGGACCAATGAACATTGAACCAATAAAGTTCTCTGGGTTTGACTGGATAAATCTGGGGGAAAATCTTGTAAAATCCATGTGTCATGGAATGATTTTCTCTGCACACCTGGGCTGTGTGTGGATGAAATTACTTCTGTGGCACATCCTGGCCAGAACAACATCCTGGCCAGAAAATAAAGTAATGCCTTGACTTTCTGCTGTTGCAGAGTTTTTGTTTTTCCCACAGTTTTCAGTGACAATGGTAGCAGCCATGTCCCAGGCTTTGGCATCTTTACTTCAGCAGACACACAGAATTTTGGGACATCTGTAGGGAATGTCTGTGACTAAGCAAGAAAAGCTTTTGAGCCTCCCTGCAGAGCACAGGCACCTCCCCACTCAGCCCCACACTCACTGGAAACCAGGGCCACAAACAGCCTGAGAAGCAAGGAAAACTTTCCAGCAGGAGCACAGACAGGGAGCAAAGTCTCTGTGCCAGAATTCCTGCTGGGAGCAGGGGGGATCCACAGCAGCCATGAACAYTGGGCACCAGGGTCATGAAATGAGAGCAGGAACTCCCTCGACAGAAAAGGGTTGGCCCACAGAATGTGCAGAGAGAGCAGGAGCTGTTCCTTGGGGAAGTCAGAACAGGAGCAGGGCCAGGAGAAGGAGACACAGCACCCACGGCACCCACCCAGAGCACCCCCAGGACGGGCAGGGGGAGCCTTGAGCAGTGGAACTGTGGAACCCCAGGGTGCACAGGCAGGGGAGCAGAGAGCCAAGAGCCATCCTGGGGATGGGACAAAAAGGGCTCTTTTAAAGGTGTTTTTTTTTGGTTTTTTTAAGTGGCTCCTGCAGGACCTTTCTCATTTTGCTCCCTGAATTCAGCAGCTGACAAAAACATAGGGCCCAGATGTTTCACCCCAAAAGGCACAGGACAGGTCCTTTTTACACCTCTTACAGAATCACAAACTGTTTAGGTTGGAAAGTCCCTGTGAGATCAGYGAGTCCAACTATCCCCAGCCCTGMCAAGGCCAYCACTGCCCRTGTCCCCAGGTACCACATCCCCATGGTCAAACCCCTCCAGGGGTGGGCACTGCCCCACCCAGAGGCACTTGAATAAAACAGGAATCTTTTACAGGGCTTTGGCACTTCCAGGTTAGTCCAGCCCAACCTTCTCAATTGCTTATTTCATGTTGTTATTCTGATCCCTTGATTTAATTTCCCATAAAAGGGTTACTTTGTGCTTTTGCCTGAAATGCTGCAATTTTCCATGTCCTTGTACCCTCCGTGCATTTATTGTTTTGTTTTTGTTCTTTGAGCAGTTTTGGCTTTAGATCTTTCTGATCTCTCTGATATTGTGGTGCCAAAACTGCTCCCAGGACTGGAGGTGAGGTTGCACCAGAGCAGAGTGGGACAATCACACCCATAAAATATCCCAAAAATATCCCAGGGTTCTCAGAACCATGATGGAATTTGCTCCACCAYGACAAAGAAACACTTCGTGCATTTATTTTCATCCAGGAATCACTGAAACAACCAAGGAACCACTATATCCCTTTTCTGCCTCCAGACTTACCAGGCAAAATAGCAAAACACCACAAAAAGCCCTCATAATTTCCTATTCACTGATCCTCAAAAGGATTTTATTAACACAGAGTCCTTCTTTGCAATGAGTTCTTGGTCACTAAACAAGACACTTGCACGGACACTGATTTTTGGAGCTCAAAAACCTTTAAAATTCTCCTTTCTGTGTGGTCTTACCAGGCAGATTTCGAAGTGTTTTGCCTCCCAAAGCCACCAATAATTGTAAAACCTCGAGCAGAGCACACAGCATGGGTGTGAAAACGCACGGCTGAGAAAATCGAGCTTGGGAAGGTCACTAGGGGAAGAGAGGGATTATTGTTTTCCATAAAAGGATGTTTATTGGCCTTTCCAAAAAATCCAGGAGAGGATAAACACTCACCACTTTCCCTGAGCCATCCAYCTTTAGTTTTCCAGTTAAGAAGATTCAATGAAATCCCCCAAACCCATGGAAAAGGGCTGAATTGAGGGAAGAGTGGCTCCACCATGAGACCAAAAACCGCAAATCCAAACAACCCAGGAGGAGCAGGGTTTGGAGAGGGAGCTCTTCCGGAGGAGCAGCAATTTCTGCACCAGGAGAAGAGCTCTGGGGCACACAGGGAGACTTTAAAAAGGAGAGGACAAATGCTCACCACTTTTCCTGAGCCATCCACCTTATTCTTCCAGTTAAGARCATTCAATGAAATCCCCAAAACCATGAGTAGTGGCTGAATTATTGAGAGAAGAGCAGCTCCATGATRAGAACAAAAATCCCAAATCTGAACAACCCTGGAGGAGCAGGGTTTGGAGAGGGATCTCTGCAGGAGGAGCAGCAATTTYTGCACCAGCAGAGGAGCTCTGGGGCACACCGAGAGCCTTTTATTGCCCTCCTTGTTTAAGTGAGATCACTTAACAACGTGAGATCTAACAATAGTGAGATCCCCAATAACAACGCATTTCTGAGGTTTCCCCTGCCTTGTCAGCAAAGCAAATTCCTTCTGGTAAATCTCGGAGCTGAACAACGATTTTTCATTTTTACAACAGCACAATCGATGCAATTTTCCGGTGAGAAGTCTCCAGCCTCCCCTTATCAGCTCGTTAAGGCACGAGTGCAGCACTCAAACCGCGCCTGGGAGAATCTCCACACACTCCTGGTGCTCTGAACACGGAATTCATCACTGGGGAATCGCCTCAGTGTGTGTGAACACTGCAATCACTACGCCAGATCTAATATTGTACACGGCAATCAGGGGATGCTGCCGCCCAGGCTCTGAGAAAGCAAAGCTGCTCTTCTTCACTGCTCAGAGCAGGTCTGGTGTCTGTGAATGGAGTTCATTTGCAGAAGCTGAATGCCTTTGAAATATTTGCAGGTTTTGTGTCTTCTCCAGACACCCCCAAGACCATTCACCCAATCCTGGTTTTCCTGGTGTTTAATTTCCAGCAGCACTGTCACAACCCAGCCAGGCTCGAGCTGGAAATGCCATTTCATTTCTGCACCTTTTTGCACCATGTCAGGCAGATTGGAACCCAAGGAAAAAGACTAAACTTACCAAACCCAAGTCATTTTTCTCCCTTAAACTGAAATGAAAGCACTGTGAATGCCATCCCCTCCCAATTCCCTCAATATTATTATTATTACCAATAGTATTCCAATCACCATTCAGGCCAGCTCAATAAAGGCTTTGGGTTCCTGAAAGGCTGTAGGGTGAGATTTTGGATTCCTGAAATCCTGCAGGTGAGATTTTTCTCATCACAAACCTTGATGCCCAGCTCGATGTTCTCGCCGCCGTACACGTCCATGCCAGGGTCCAGCAGCCCAATCTCCCCGAAGAACTTCCTGTTCACCACGAAGGAGCAGCCGATCATGGCCGGGGTCCTGCAGCAAGAGAGAACCATGGGAACAAAATTAGGGTCACTCCCCGACCCTAAATGGGCTAATTTTGTACAGCTGCCGCCCTCAGGGGCTGCCYGCCACCGGCGATCCCAAAGATTTCCTGGTAATGCACTTTTGAAGGCATTATTTTGCATTGAAATTGCCCACAATCCACACAATCATTTCAGTGTTTGCATACTGGAGAAGGGTTTTCCTGGGGTTAAATTATGGAGGACTTGGCTTTGCTGGAAATACCTTGGGGTGTCTGTGGGCAGGGATGCGATTTCTTTGGGATTCCACTGCCCACAAGTGAAGGAAATACAACAATGACTTTTCCTTTCTCTCCTTTCCAGTATGGCTGGAACAGAGCAGCCTTTAGGACAGATTCTGCTTTTAGGGTCTCTATGAAAGAGGGTTTCCAGCTGTAATCCCAAAGGAGCCATCAGCACCAGCAACAAGCTCACTGTGAATGTGTACAGCAAACCCTTTAAGAACTGTTTGCAGAACCCTCTGTGGGGTCACTCCCAGTTCCCCCAGTACAGACAGGACTCTGGGTTACAGATGGAGTTGTCACATCCCCCTGCACCCCGTGCCCTCCAGTCCAGAGCGCTCAGCTCCCACTGCTGGGGCAGCCAGGGACAGGGGCTGGGAGGGAAACGACACAGAAAACTGGGGCATCAGGGGAACAGCATAGAGGGAGGGAAAGCAGAGTGCCAGGGGTTAACCTGTCCTAACTGTGCGGTTTTAGGGCATTACAGATCGCTGTGTTTATAATGACCCTCAGAAGTCACAATACCCAGCCCAGCTCTGCAGCTGGGACAGCTGAGATGAGGCTGCAGTTGTGATTTGAACTGATGTGACACCCTGAGATGAGGCTGCTGATTCTCACACCCTGAGATGTCATTTCAGGGGATTTCTGGATGCTGCTGACTCTCTCCATCAGACCCCACTTTGCCCCAGAGCCCAGCACTGAACGAACCCAAGCAGTTCTGCTCAGGGATGCTGCCAGTGCAGCTGTCCTGGTGCGTGCAGAGTTCACCTCTGGGGTATTCCTTGTGCTAGAACAGAAACACAAAAAGCCTTCCCCCACTGGACTGCTCCTCTCTGAACCCATGCAGGRGAGAAAAATCAGGGACCCACTCGGTCCAGCAGGGAGATGTCGGTGAATGTCCCAGTGAGGGACTGCCAGGGGCTTTTGTGGAGTTTTTGGGAGTTCCAGGAGTGCCCGGCCCATGCTGAACTCTGGGCAGGGGAATGAGATGGGATTCATGGGATGGGATGGGATGGGATGGCCCCATCTCTGCCAGCCCATGGGAATCCCACACCACCAAGGAATGCCTGCTCTCCAAACGCTGCTCTGGAGGCAGGAATGGGGCCACAGGGTCCTGCCAATCCTGGGACCAGCCCCAATCCCAGCTCCATTCCAGCCCTGTCCATGCTGGGGAGAACACCCAAGGCTGGAATCAGCGGGTTTGGCCTGAGAGGAGGAGAACACCCCTGGATTCACCCAGAGCTGCCTCACAGGGAGCAGGGACSGTGCTCCAGCTCTCCATCCACACCTCACACCAGAGGTGCTCTGCCAGAGGAGCTCCTGGCATCCCCAGGGCTCAGAAACGCCAAGGATTTCACAGCTCAGCTCCATCCACAGCAGTCAAACCTGGTGAAAACCACAAGTGCTTTGGATGAAAGGCTCTGCCCACTCTAATATTATTATTTATAGAGATTTTAATACTCCTAATAGGAGACAGAAGAGCTGGATGCTGCTGCCAYGTTAAATTAGTTCCAAGTGGAATCCATCAGAAGGTTTTTCCAACAGATTTCCTCCCTGACAGCTGGCTCAGCCCTCCTTCCATGGAGCAGGATAATGTTTCACGCTTTGCTGCCACTCTGGTACTTAAGATTTCAATTCTCTTGCTTTATTTGCAGCAAGTTAACTGCCATTAACAGAAACAATTCCTTCTGAAATGATAACCACCTCATAGATGCCAAATCGAATTGTTCCATTATCCTGGATTACCCCCTGGAATTTCAGAGAAGAGTAAATTGCTCTGGTTTTATCCAGAGTATGAACAACCCAGTTCCTCTCCTCCACTGGGAATAGGTGTGGAAACCTCTGACTTCTCCAGTCAAAACCTGTTAAAGGCACTCAGAGAAGTGGAAAAAGCCAGAAAAGGAATCCAGGTGAAAGATGAAGATGAAAGAAACTGCATTGTGGCCCCAGTGCTGTGGATCTCTGGGAATTCACAGCCAGGGAAAAGAGGTTTTCTGAACTGGAACTGGCTCAGAGCCACAAACAGGAGCTGTACCCTGAGAGAGTTCCTTTCATTGTTGTTTATAAATCCCARAATGGCTTGGGTGGGAAGGGACCTTAAAAACCATCCCATCCCAGGGGCAGGAACACCTCCCACTGTCCCAGGCTGCTCCCAGCCCCARTGTCCAGCCTGGCCTTGGRCACTGCCAGGGATCCAGGGGCAGCCACAGCTGCTCTGGGCACCCTCCCAGGGAAGGATTTCTCCCCAACACTTCACAACACCACTTCATTAAACACAAGCCCCAGTCCTTCCCAAAACTCTCCTGGAAACAGCCAGACTGGGATTTAGCACCTCCACCTTCAAGGTTTCCTCTTCCCCACTCTGCTGCAGGTCCTGCTCCATCCCAGGAGCCCGGGGGGCTCCCGAGGCACCGCTCCTGCTCCCTCCAGCCATCCCCAGTATGCGCTCCCTTCTCCTCTCTAACAACATTCAATAAATGAGGAATCAAGCAGCGCTCACCAATTTCAATAAAAGCACCACTAGATTTGGTGGTAAATCCCTCAAAAGGTGGACTCAGACAATAACAGATTGCTCATCCCCAATGCAATAATGGCCTGCAGACAAAGAGCTGATAGAGCCTCTCGTTCCCCCGGCCCTTAATTAAAAGCATTAACGCAGCTTGTTTTTAAAAATCACCCAGCTCAGCTCAATGCATTTTTATTTGTCCTCACAGCTATTCTACCTTTAATGAGAAAGGAAAAGCAGAATTTGGCAGGGAGGAAGAGCGGAGATGTTGAGCAGAATTATCAGGTTTGTACCCAGAACTCCATTGTGACACTTCCTCRCCATTCTTTTGCTTGGTTCCTCTGTAGAACAAGTGAGCAGAGGTCAAGAGGAGCAGCTTTTATGAAATATCCTCCTCSTGGATCTCTAAATAAAGATGAAGTAGATGCAGGCAGAAACGTTTATCCTGCTCTATTAAGTTACTTTAATGTTCTTCCTTTCTTTAGCTCACAGTTATCATCTAATGATTAAAAAGTCTCAAGGAGATTGCTTCTTCAATTCAAGGAAATTAATTTCTCCCCACAATTGGATTTGGCTTCAAATTCCATACTAAAGAGCAGCTCATAAAATATGTAGAAAAAAGATACTACAAAAATAATTAGTGGTCTTCCCACTGACTGCAAGAGGCTGAGAAGAGACTGGGGCAATTTCCAGGGTGCCCAATTCCCATTGAAGTGCTGCTGGCTTCACTGAACTTGGATACTGGAGCTGCTCACCTGCCACATGACAAGGCACTGCCCCACCTTTGGGACATTTGGGACAGTCTTTTAMCTGGCCAGAAGGAAGTTCTGTCCCTCTCCCAACCTTGCCACTCCTAATTTAACACATTGAATTAACACATCTTAGAGTCAGGGAATGGGTTGGGTTGGAAACACTTTAAAGCCCATCCCATTCCATGGGCAGGGACACCTTCCACAGAGGGCTCCAAGCCCCAATGCCCAGCCTGGCCTTGGACACTTCCAGGAACAGGGAATCCATGGAAAAATCCATGCCAGRGTCTCAGCACCCTCACAGGGAAGGATGCCTTCCCACTATCCCGCTGGAGCTGGCAGGGAGCTCATACCCTGCAATGGGATGGCACCAAGGGGGGAGAAGTTACTGCACAGAGAAATGTCTGAGGTCCCATGGAAGGTGCACCCATCCAGTCTGTGCTCTGTTCCCATCTCCAGGAGCTGTTAAACCAGCTGGGCCAGTGCTCTTTATCCTCAGCATCACCCAGCCCTGATCACACCCTCCGGGGGCCATCTCTGCTCATGGGCCATCCAGGGCTCTGGCAATGACTCCTGCAATTCCATCATCCCATTGGGAGATGCCCCGGCCAGACAGGAGGAACTGCACATCCCTACTGGCACAGAAACTGAGGCTCTGCAACACTGGGACACTGCTGCCACTGCATTCCCAGAGGAGAGGAGCTCCASAACCACCCCTGGAGCTGCAGAGACGGACTCGACCTGTCCTCAGGATCAGCGCTTGGATGAGAGCACATCCATCACTGCAACGGGGCTGCAGCCACCACCCTGCCCAACAGGGTGTCAGGCTGTGTTCTGACTCTGGCAGTTCAAGCTGTTGTTTCTCTATTATKGCCTTTATTTTAATTTTTCCTATTCATTTGCAGTTCTGATTTAGAATCTCTCCCAACATATTTGTGTTGGGGTGATTCCCCCACTGATTTGCTTTCAATCTGGCACAATCTCCAGCAGCGTCCGTTCCTTAAATCTCATCCCGTGTGGCATCTGCAGAGCTGTTCCTTGGATAATTCTTTGGCCCTGCCCCAGTGGCCCTGGTTAATTGTCTGTTTCCAATGGGTTTATTTCCCTGCTAAGTGCCACAGAACCTGTGAAACAAATTAAAAAGGAGAGATAGCACACAAAAGAGATGCTGGAGTGAATGGCTTTGCTGCATTTACTGGAGATTAATGCAATTTACACTCTGAATGGCAAGCAGCCTGTGGAAACTGCATTTTTTAAAGCACCTCTTCCATCTACCCACGCCTGTGACCTTGCTGAGCACACATTTGACTTTGTCACTGTTCTCTGCCTGCTCTGGGGCTCCAGGCAAAGCATTGAACTCCTCAGGGAATAATTTTAACCTCCCTACACTAAACCCCCAAAGATGAGGTGTCAGAGGAACAACACTGATTGCTTGAACATTATAACCTGATAATAACAAAATAAAGGGCAGGAAAAG